AATTTACCAATCGGGATCACTGTTTCGACAAATACTTAATTTCGCGTAAATTTCTTTTTTCTTTTTGAAATCCTTACCTTTTGAAATGTTTCTAACGAAATGCCTTGCATGAAGTTCTTATCATTTAATATTTTATAAAAAATAAAACTGGCTACATTTTAGAAAGTGGCCACTGTTGAAAGTACTAAAACTGGCCTGTAGCAAGATTCCCGAACTCAGCCTTGTATCTATAGGTAATTAATTTTTTTAGGAAAATGAGGGAGTGCATAAGTGTACATGTTGGTCAAGCAGGAGTTCAAATCGGGAACTCCTGCTGGGAATTGTACTGCCTGGAACACGGTATCCAGCCTGACGGTCAAATGCTCAGTAATCAAGCCTCCACAAGCAGTGGCGATGACAGCTTCCACACTTTTTTCAGTGACACCAGGAATGGAAAGTACGTCCCCAGAGCCATTATGGTTGACTTGGAACCCTCAGTTGTCGACGAAATAAGGAACGGAAAATACAGACAACTGTTCCACCCAGAACAACTGATTACTGGAAAAGAAGATGCAGCAAACAATTACGCCAGAGGTCACTATACCATTGGAAAGGAACATGTTGATTCTGTTTTGGATCGCGTTCGAAAGCTTGCTGACCAATGTACTGGCCTTCAGGGATTTCTTATTTTCCACAGTTTTGGAGGTGGTACTGGTTCAGGATTTACATCTTTACTAATGGAGCGTTTGTCTGTTGACTACGGAAAAAAAGCAAAGTTGGAATTCGCAGTTTACCCAGCTCCACAGGTATGTAAAATTTCATTCTAAAGACTTTTTGAATAAGTCGGAAGTTATTCGTAAAAAGAAATAATCTAAATTTTTAAATAAAATAAATATGTAGATACAATTTCAATTTTCACCTTCAATTTTATTTTGCGATATTTTAACTGATGGGGCGAAAAAGCAACCTATTTAGAGTTGAAAAAATTAGTACAACGTTTCATATTTCTCTTTATAAAAATAGTGATAACTTGTATTCTATTTTTAAAGGCAAAAGTCTTGTGGATAAGTCCATTTATTCTAAATATTTAAGGGTTAGTATTTGATGTAATTTAAAAATAATGGCAAAGGTTAATGAGCTCTATAATAGGATTAGACTTTGAAATGTAGAAATGATTATTAAAATCATGGATAATACTAAACTCCAAATGAGCTTATTCCTCTTTCAGAATAACATTTTATACGAAATAAACGAGGAATGTTAAGTGTATCTTATATACAATAACTTTAATGTAAATTTTTTAAGCAAATAAATGTAAACTTGAAACTCCATAACTACTTATTCATGACAAATAGGTGTGACGCAAGGTAACTCATTGTTGTATTTTTCTTGTTGGTTTTGAGGTTTTATACAGTGGTACTTTTATTTGTGTATTCGCTTCGATATCAATTATATATTAAATACGAAAGCTGTGATCAAAACAGAAAACACAAACCAAACCGCAGAACTAAGCAAAATCGAGCAAATTACTTCATAATATGAATTGACGCTAAAGATGGCAAACTCTACAATTGCATTGGCGTTTATTCTCAGTGTCTAACTAGTGAGTATTTCCAATGCAAACATTAATTTTGGAAAGCAAATAAAAATTTTAAATTTCATTAAAAGCTGACTTATTCTGCGATAAAAATATTTTATCTAATTCTTTTAGATACTATATTGGGCTGATTTGAATGCATGATTCATGAGATTAAAAATGAGTTTGTACCTTGCTAAAATCACTAATTTTAAAAAATGATCTTATTCCACTTTAGAAAATAGCTGTTTAGTTTCATTTCTAAACTTTTGTGGCTTACCCATACCTTTCCTCCTAATATTTAATATTCTTGTAATATATTCTCTTCAGGAAAAGAAATTAAGCCAGCAGGAATTTTTAAAACTAATTATCTGAAACTTTTAGGTACGTACATGACTAGAGTCTTTAATATTTAAAATTTTTTTTAAATATATTCGTAGTATTAATAGGTCACTTTCACTAAAATTATTTTCTGAAACTACGGAAATTCCGTAGTTGGAAGGTTTGGCTTAGAAACTGTATCACAAGGCCTTCGATTTTTATTTTGTTAGGTATCAACTGCTGTCGTAGAGCCTTACAATTCTGTTCTGACGACACACACCACTCTGGAGCATTCAGACTGCGCCTTCATGGTGGATAACGAGGCCATCTACAACATCTGCCACAAGAACCTGGGTGTGGATAGGCCATCTTACACGAATCTCAACAGGCTCATTGGGCAGGTAGTGTCATCCATAACAGCTTCGCTCAGGTTCGACGGAGCCCTGAATGTTGACCTGACAGAGTTTCAAACAAATCTCGTACCTTATCCCAGGTAGATCGTATGTTTCGTATTTTATGTTTATATTAACGTTGCATCAAATCACTTAAACGAATCTGCCATTTAAGATACCCCAAAGCGGTTGGAGGCAAAAGTTTTAAGTTTCGAATTTGGAATGAATGCGTTATACACTGAAACACAGTATGAATACAAAAATAAAATGTCTTTTGACGAAATATGAGGGAAACTGGCCAAAAAAGGTCAAAGTGTGAGCTTTATCAAAATATCATACCTTGAAATTTATTTAATTATGTGTAAAATAGGAAATTTAAATCAATAAAAACTTAGTTGAGGGAATCTGCCAGGATAGCCTGGTTGGTATAATGAACTCATGTTAGAGTTCGAATCCCCCGGCCGAAGAATTTCCGTGTATTAAATGGTGACTTTAGTGGCTGTTAAATCTGTCTGAGTCAAAGTTCCCACGACAGATCAATAAGTCTGGAGTGCTGAATTGGAGTTCGTTCTCTAGTTCAAGACAAAATTATGATCCGTGTATAAATAGAGCACGATTGAGGGGGGGGGAGCTCTGTAAACGGGCTGTGACGTAAGTTTGGATGAATTCTTATTCTTAGAAACGCACTAAAAACGCACTCTTGCTTGAAAATTCGTTTGATTTCAAACAGGCTTACTAATATTGGAAAAAGGCCTCAGTTACAACATACAGGGAATAGACTGCGCATTAAACATATTAGAATTTTTACAGCTAACGTCGAAACCTTTTTAGCAAAAAGAAATTGCACTTGTTTTTTTCATAATATTCTATTTTTAAAAACTCCAGAGTTCATAAGTTATTCATGACTTATGTTATCTTTAGCCAGCTTTTCCGTGCTAAATTCTGAAAATGGCGCAAAACATCAGTATGAAGAGAAGCCCGTTTTGTAAAAAGAGTTCGCAATAAATTTTTAAATATTTAAATAAGTACTCCAGCGTTACATTGTTAGGACTCCTTACAAATTTAAATATTTAATAAAGATTTTTATCTAGAGAAAAATCTCTATTGTCTATTTAAAAAAAAAGTTGTGAAATATTTAAGCAGTTTCCCAGCTCTAAGGCCTAGATAATTCTTTGCGACAAGATTGAGCACTGCCCAGAGGGGTAAGGCACTTAAACTGTTCCTTCGTTGGCTAGAGCACGATGCCACAGTGAATTTAGTTTCGTTTCAACTATTCTAGACCAAACTCATTGTAATTTCAACACTTTAGTAGCCTAAAATAACATACTTTTATTTTGCTTATATTGCTTAAAATAGTAAACCTTTAGATACTTTTACCTCAAAAGTAACTTAACAATTTCGTGGGTTTGCTATTAAAGTTGAGGTTTCCTGAACTATAGCGATTCTGTTTCTAAGTGACATTTTTATTAAATTTGTGTGAAAGCAGACCCATATTATAAACCCATATTGAAAAGACTTAACATGTTTTCACTACACATTTTGAAAATTAACATTACTAGATATCTGAAAAAACAGTGGCATTATGTCTTGTAGTAATTTAGTTTACTTTGCTAAAAGGAAATCAATCAAGACTTCTTTTAAGGTCCAGTTTTTTCTTAATCAGTATATCTAGACTGTTAACAGAACAGTTTGATCAGCTGTCTTCAAATTCGTAATATCACATGAAACAAGATTTAAATGCTGACAGAAAATGCAATATTTGCTTGGAAGTATGCTGCTTAGACACTCATAAATGACAATATTTTTAAAATTAAGTTTAATTAATTACTACAGGAGAACGTAAACTTTAATTTTTAGCATTTCTTACTAATTGTAAAATTTAATGCGTAACATTTTGATCAGGATTCTGTTTAACGATTAAAAAATCTTTATTCAAACTTTCCGAGAGCTTACTTTAATAAATTTTTTTTTAAGTCACTAAATTCTTATTAATTCTGTTCAATATATGACACACTGGGTTTAAAGAGTAGGGGAGAGTGGGGTCAATTGTAACAGGGTACGATTGTAACAAAGCAAAAATTTCGAGTGTCTGGTTTTAGATTTGGTTCCTAGGTGGCGCACAAGGTGTATTTAATAAATCTACATGTACACCCCTGCTGGCAACCATTTTTATGTACTTTTGAAAGAGTTACATCACAAAAGATATTTTCACGTAACGCAAGTACTTTTTTTGGCATTAGAATATTATATTGTAACAAAGTAATTTTGTTTAAACAAATAAAAATTATTAACCGAATATGTAAGTGGACACCTAAATTAACATTTCAATTTAAAAAAAAATTACTTTTGTTAATTAACTAGCATTGTTTTTAACAAATGAAGCTGAAATGGCGTCTTGGGGACAATTGTAACAATAAGTAAAAGGGACGATTGTAACAGCTGAAAATAAATTATCTTATGTTTACAAACCATTACTTAACTCTTTAAGATCCACCAATAGTTTCCTATATCATTTATATTATGTTGCATGTGCATTATTTTATTTGTCACCTTTCACAGCATAAATTAAAATTTTTAACCCCTTAAAGTTAAAAGTTTAACCCTTTAGGTCTCTGCTCATTATTATTTTTACTCCGAAAATATCACTACTATTTTGATCAATAAAATAATATATCACAACTATGATATGTATAACTATGTTTTAGTTGAATTTATGAACTGTTACAATTGACCCCGTAAGTGGGGACAATTGTAACAAGTGCACGACTGTCAAAAATTGTTAATAACTAATATAATAACATTTAAAATAAGGTTATTTATTTTTTCTAGTAGAGGATAGTCTACTTTACTCGTCTGTCAATTAATACTAATAATATATTGAGTTTTTTGTTAGTTAAAAATAGTTAAGTAAAAAATGTTACAATTGACCCCACTCTCCCCTACTATATATCCTTGACGTTTGAAACATTATAGCTAAACGAGTCTTCTGCATGACCTAACCATTCAATTCATTCAAAGCCCTTTATTTGATTAGTAAAGTTTTGAATTTAAAAGATTGGGACATTATCATGATTTTTTCAAAGGTATGAATTTTACAAAAGTGTTCAGTTTTATTTAAAGATGAGCTAATTGAACATTTCCAGTAATTCCACACAGTAGCAGATTGCATATAATCTTCATAAGGAACGCCCTACTCTTGTCTCCTGGAGCAGTGGCTGTGACTATGGTTAAGAGGTTTAACTATTTAAAGTTTGGCCAGTCCTTAAATGTATTGGCTCATATCAGCGAGAGAAAAGCAATGACTGGAGAGAAAAGTTATCCTCTTTGAAATGAACTCTCTTGTTTCCATAGCAGCAGCCGGTCTTAGACTTTGTCTAAAAAAAGAACTCTCCTTTCCACAAGGTATAGAAACAGTGACTAAATCTCTGAGCAAAATCATGCCAACTACTATCTTAATGAAGAGAAACTATCTGGACTTAAAAATGGACAAATAAAATTTAATCGAAGTCTTAAAATTAGCCAGAGTTTTCCGCTGGAGGAAAATTTTTAAAATGACTGAACAAGTCTCAATTTTTAAATTTTAAGAATTCAAAGTAAAACTGTAAGAATTGTTAGTATTGCGTAATTTTCGTAGTGTAGAGGGCGCAGGCATCAAATCTTTGTCTTTATTAACTGTTACAAACTCAGTGGAGTTGCGAAAAATTAAGTATGCAATTCACTAAATATCAGTTACATATTTCAGCCTTCAAACACAAACTTTAATCAAAACTTCAATATCTAATATAAAGAGCAAAATGTCTTGATTCAGCTGTGATTGGTTGTTAAATCTTATTTTCCGATTCCAGGATCCATTTTCCATTGGTAACCTATGCTCCCATTATTTCTGCGGAAAAAGCGTACCACGAACAGTTTACAGTAGGGGATATTACAAATTCCTGCTTTGAGCCTGAAAATCAGATGGTGAAGTGTGATCCACGGCATGGAAAATACATGGCTTGCTGTCTTCTGTATCGGGGAGACGTCGTACCAAAAGATGTCAATGCTGCTATTTCAGCCATCAAAACAAAGCGTTCTATCCAGTTTGTAGATTGGTGCCCCACCGGTTTTAAGGTATTCAGTCTAATTAGATGTATTATTTCTTACATCTTTCCGTTTATTTTGCCTAAACCTTAAAATTTTGACTACAAGGAACTTCTCAAAAGTTGGGAATAATGTAAACAGCAGCTAATTCTGAATTCCTCTATTTTTTTTTATAAGCGCTAAATATCAACTAATAAAATATTCTTTTATATTTGAATTTAATGATAAAATTTTTCAACGATTCAAAACTGGCATGAGCTGTACGCTCAAATATTTTCAGATAAATAGAAGTGCCACAACACTTGCATACTTCATTTTTAAAACTTTATTTTATTCTTTTACTAGTTGGGATATCTTGGCTTGTAGGGTGTTAGGCTCTTGTCCAAGAAGTCGTGGGTTCGATCTCTGCCGGACGTAGACTCCCTGTGTAGTAATGTTGACTGGTGCACGTTAAATCCAATGGGTCACAATGTTCCATAACAAATCATTCCCCTGGAGTTACTGAATTAAAGCTTAATCGTTCTCCGGTTCATTTTAAAATTACGATCTGTGAGTGAATAATGTATGAATGGGATCATCCTATAAACGGGCTGTGAGGCGTGTGTGCTAAAGTCCTATTATTGGTCATAGAGAGAACAACTGAAATATAAGAGTACAATATGCCTTTAATTCGCTTTGTTTCGACGAACAGGCTTGATGATTTCCGCAAGTGGTATTGGAAACAACATTCTTTTGCTAAAATATAATGTTAGCGTTTAGTACTGCCGTGCAACGTACTCCTCCTCCTGCAGCACTGAAGCTAGTTTCAAAAGTTACTGTCGTGTTTTGAATGTCTTAAACTCGAATACATTATAACTTCAATTAAAAATACTATATTACTTAAAAGAAATGATTGGTTTTTAAATAAATGATAATATGAGCAACATTTTTACTTCCATAAAAAAAATTGTTAAAATCAAGTTTTACATTTAGTGTACTTTAAGAAATAAAAATACTCACGTGGGTTAACTTTCGCAACATTCCACTATTAAAATTTAAGGCTTGGCCGAACCAGTAGAAATAAAACGTTGCAGTTTATCTTAATGTAAGAATTTCTTTCCTTCAGAAAGCTAATACACCAGTCTTTTGCCTCTTTTTGATTTTTCGTAAGTAGTCGCTAGCTTATACGTTGATTATTCAAGAGGTCGGTAATTTTTCTGCGACTAAGAGCCATTTTCTTGTCTATGTAAGTTTAAAGAACTAAAAGTACGTAAGTCATTTTATTAGAAAAAATTTAACTGATGTGCTTTGAAACGTGAATTTAAGACACAAATATTTTATTTTGCTCAATAATAGTTTATAATACAATAAATCAAAGGGAGCTGAAATTTGGATAACCGGTTAAAATAAACCTTTATTGTGCAGCCCTAATTGCAGAAGTTATGTAGCTTTGCTTATAACTTAAGTGTAAGAATGATAGAAACTCAAATATGTAATAGTGAGATTTTCGGGGTTGAATAAACGATTAAAGTAATTATAACTTTGAATATTCAGAAGTTTTTACTTCCTACAACTTACCAGGATTTAGTCGTAAGGTATATTAATTTTTAAATTATAGTCTTAGGAGAAAATTGTTTACAGTAGTAAGTAGATCCTATACACAAAGGTGCCAACTTGCACCGGATAACTGATAAATATTTTCAAGTGGTAGGCTTTTAATGAATGATTCTTGGTTTAAGAAATTCGATTTATAGGGTTTTTACACACGACTAATTCTAAGACTTATGAAGTACACAAGGAAGCAAGATGTCTTAACTTCAAAAAGTTAAGTTTGCAAAATTGAACAAAATTCTGCAAATGTTTTTTATTTTTACTTCTACGTGTTTTTACGATACTTTGAAGAATCCACAGCAGTTGTCAGCTGAGATGCTGAATGACTTCATTTTATCGAAATTATTTGGATTATAGCTTAAAATTTCAAAATCTCTAGCTACATCTAATAATTAAAAATATTAAGATTTATTCCTGTTCGTGTGTACTTTCTAAAAGATTTTCTGTATAAAAATTTAAATACCGTGGTTGGGCTGAGTTTTTAGATTGGAATATAAGAAATTAGATTCAAGTAACCTTTCTAAAGTTTCAATATGTTATTTTATCATAGAATATAACATTTAATGATCAAAATGTGAAATACGCTATAATAATATCGGACAGTTAAACTACTCAACCACTAATATGGCTCTAATGAGCCGTATTCAGTTCAAGAGCAATCACTAGCAGACTCCTGTTAAAGAACTATAACGTTCCAAGCATTAAAAAGCAGTTGGTTTAAGTTGGAGCTTCGACAGCCTACATAATCTTTGAGGTTAACTAAACTGACCTGGATGACTCACTTTTTTAAAATTTCAGGTCGGCATAAACTATCAAGCTCCAACAACTGTTCCAGACGGTGATCTCGCCAAAGTGCAGAGAGCGGTGTGCATGATCTCTAACACGACAGCCATCGCTGAAGCATGGGCTCGTCTTAATCACAAGTTCGATCTGATGTACGCCAAGAGAGCTTTTGTTCACTGGTATGTTGGCGAAGGTATGGAGGAAGGAGAATTTTCAGAGGCCAGAGAAGATCTCGCAGCTTTGGAGAAAGACTACGAAGAAGTTGGACTCGATAGCGTTACCGAACCAATATCAGATACTGAAGATGAGTTTTGATAATCTGTGTTTGTTTCAAGTTTTATTGATACTTTATTGGAGTTTTGAGTTCTGTTCTTGAATAAAAAAAAATAAAAAAACTTACAATTTGTGGAAATGTATTCTTGCTTTTAGTATTTTTATTTTTTCTTTGTCAAAAAGGTGTTTTTGCAAGTTTTCCGGCTGATCGAAACGTAACATCTTACTGTAAAAATTTGGATTTGGGAACTGGTCAGTATTATGTTAGAAAAACTAGTTATGTAATCACACATTTAAAGTTTTTGAGCCGAAGAAGAAATTAGTTGATCATAAAATCATTTAATACTCTAAGCGATGGAATTGGAGCATTTATTCAAACATTGAAAAAATTAGACCACTTGCATTTTTGATATTTTGCGCAACAATAGTGTCCGTAGTAAACGGCTCATAGTGGTCAAGTTACTTTCAAGTTTGAGTGCAAATTTAAAATCAAAACATCCATTTACCAAGTTTTAATTTGCTCTCGAGTTGGTAACAATTTTTCAATCAAAATTTTGATGAATTTCTAACTTACTAGAGCACTTGAATCTGTTGACTTTCGTGCTTAATGTTGGTTTTTAATAGTTTAGATATCGCATGCAAAAACCATTTCGAAATTCGAGCCAAAGGAACATCCATTCAAATTTTCCTTATGCATAAAGCACTTACACTGTGTGGTTAAAGGTTGATAGTACAAAAAAGTGTGCTAACCTTTACAAGCAGGATTTAACGACACTAAATGTGTTTTAAATGTTGCACTCAAAATTTCAATTCGCTCCCTTCTGGACTATTTACCCATTGATATATACATGTAGGAAAATTATCTCATTCCAGATCTTCCTTTTATAAGCTCGTGCTTAACTTTGCATTAAAATTATAAAAAATAAACAATGTAAAAAAATAGTTAAGTGTGAAATTCACTCTGAATTCGTATTGAATGATCTTTGAAAAACATAAGAGTGATATAGATTGTTTTCTATGAGACTTGGAAAGTACAAAGATTTGCAGAAAATTTTACAAGAAATAGGATTCAATAAAAAAAAAAACATTTTCAATTACGTTCAAACATTTGGTTCATGAATTATTAACTTTAAACTTGTAATAAAATTTAAAATACAGGGTGCGCTGTAGGCCAGAGAAATGCAACAACAGAAGTAAAATTTGACGTGCTGAAAGGTCCATTTTTGTTTATAAACATAACTCAATTATCTTCAAAATTTCATTTTCTTTTAAAGTTATTACAATTTAAAACTTCTATTTATTTTTGCGTTTTTTTCTTTAAATCAAGACTATTTATCAATTAAAGAAAATGTTTCTCTCTCGAGATTTTCTTTGTATAAGCTCGTGCTAGGCTTGCAGTTGAAATGAAAAAAATAAATAAATAAACATAAGAGAGTGGAAGTTTAGATGTTGCCAGGTATGAATCTTAACATTTGTATAGAAAAGTTTAAAAATAAGAGATATATAAGTTGTAGAAGAAGATAAGAAAATTAAGAGATATATAAGTTGTTCGAATTTGAACTGTTATATGATGTAAAGTTATCATTACATATTGACAAGTAAAATTACTTATCATTTATCTCTTCTTAGAGTAGCATATTTTGTATTCGTAAGTTTAAATAATATTTTTTTTCAAGTACAGTTGATTATTTTTCAAATCTAGATATCCGTTTGTTTCGCTATGATTTAGATAGTAACATATCGTGTTTAAATAAAATGATAGTAATTACTCGTTTCATGAACAAAATTATTTTTAAAAATTTTTATGAGAAGCAACCACGGAGTTGATAAGTGTCGTGAAGAGGTGGAGGAGGAGTCTCCTAGTAATATTGAAAAATAAAATTAAAAAAAAAATGTTTTTTTTTTTAAAAATATAGTGTTATTAAAAATTGAAAAGTTGGTGATTGAGGTACATTTAAAACTCAACATATTTGTCCTTTTACTCTTCCTTCTTTTATAGGATTATTAATCAATGACACTGATTATTTTTAAAGATAAACCTTAAGCGATAAATAAATTGAGTAATACAACTCTGTTTTTAAAATAGCCAACATAACTTTTTTTTGGCTAAGAACAAGCTTAAAAAGATATTTTTTTTCTAAATTCAATTTTTTGAATCAGAGTCAACTTTTTAATAAAAAATGGATTTTTTTAAAAAGTTTAATTTATCAGAAACACTTTGAATAGTTTGCTGTAAGTTTTACAATTATTTCATAAAACTTTACAAAAAAATTTATTTCTTTTGTTTCAACATCTTTGGTTAAGATCAAATTAAAAAAAAAATACTTCTCAAAGTGAATTTGTTTTTGCTTAATTAAATTCCATAGTTATGTGCAAAATGTCTGTTGTCATTTAAAAATTAATCTCTCTATAAAATCTAATCTGTTAAAAGAATGATACTTAAATTTAAATTCTTTCTTATTGAAATATTGGATGTAGAATTTTGATAAATTATACTTTATCCGAAACTCTTCAAACAGTTTACTGTAAATTTTACCATTATTTCATAATACTTGACTAAAATTTTTATTCCATTGTTTCACAATCATTGGTTAGGATCAAATTTAAAGAAAAAAAAACAATACGAATCAAAATGATCTTTATTTGTTTAAGTAAATTCCATAGTTATGTGCAAAAGTCTGATGTCATTTAAAAATTAATCTCTTTATTAATTCTAATCTTTTAAATGAATTATATTTTAATTTACTTTTGTTGTTATTGAAACTTTGGGTGAATTTTTAATTCAGAATCATTCTTCCAACGCAAAACAGTTTGAGATTTCTAACCTCTCCATAGGAGCATTGACAACCATCTTGTACTAGTTTACCGCAAGAACTGAGAAAACTGGTGAAGTAATTATCTTAACAAGTACTTACTGAAGTATTAAGTTGTCGCTGAACACAACTCAAAGTCGTTAAGAAGATTTGGAAAACCATGTCGCATCTGCAGATCATTTAAAGAAAAGTATTCCGCGTAAGTGTTAGTCGTTACTAACTAATTCTAAGAATGTTTCGGTAATTGTTGAAGTTTAGGAATATAACTTAAAATTTCAAGAACAGAATAGAATAGAGAGCATTGTTTCCAGCAACTTCATTGCTAAAGTTTGTTCACTTGTGGTTTCGAAATACATTATGTTTTATTCTCTAAATATCACAAATATTGTGGATATTATTTGCTTTATTTAAGATAAAGTATGATAATAAAAATATTTTATTTGTTAAAAATTATATGGTAGATATAATTTTTAATAAAATACTTAATAAATATAATTTCATATGATAAATTTAATTTTATATGATAAATCTGATTTGTAACTTTTTTAAGCTTTAAAAATTTAAAATATTTAACTTTTGACTGTAAAATTTTTAACTTTTTTTAAACGATCATATTTCCCTGCTTTACTGAACTATGTTTACAGTAATTGCTTGCAATACCTAAAATAATATTTATATTTAGACTCTTCATAAATTTTTATCAATTTTCCTACTCTTTCAGAACTGTGGTGTAATATTTCTCGATTTCTGAGTTGAACAAACCGAAAAGATACGTAAAGAAGCACTTTAAGTAATGACGAAATCGAGCTTTTATTTATACTTTAAAATGTGTAGTTAAATTCCCCATCTATTGGTATTTTTGAAAAATGTGATATTAAATTATTGATATAAGTAATAGAAAGTGCTCACAGCAAGCTCAGACTCATTCATTCAATACGTGAATTATTTTTGCTTACATAAGCGCCAATATTGGCTTATTTTGGGTATTATCAATATATTGCTTACGTTTGTGAACAAAATGACGCGCATTTGCTTTTGTCTTGCGCGCTGCTTTATATCGATAGAAAAAGTTCACCGTTGTGAAATATATGCTTGTGTAATGAGGATAATTATATTTTAAATTTTAATACCTGTCAATTGTAGTAAGCTATTTTACAATATTTAATTTTTATCCGATTTTTTTTGCTATGCGTATACTGGTGGAAATTTGGTGTAATATCTCTCCAAATATGATGTTGACCAAGCCAAAAAATTTTTCGGCGAAACAGTTTATTTCAGGTTAACACTAAATAGAGCTTTCATATGCATTTTAAAGTGTGGAATTTAAATCTAAACACTTAGAGTGGAATAAGCTTATACCGAGCGTTTGGCTTTTTTCACCAAGCAAGTATTAGTTTTACTTTCGGAAACCCCGATGTTGGCGAGCTTTGAATACCGTCTGTTGATAGTTTATGTAAGCTGGCTTGAGTTAATGGAAGTCTATGACTCTGATATACATGAACCAAAACAAAGGGCTAAAATATGTATGTTTGTTCTTTTTGCATAATAAAGATAATTGTATTTTAATTTTTAAATCTCTGAGAAATATACTAAGGAATTTTGTTAAGTATAGTTTCTTTTTGCTCCTATTCTTTTAAGCCTAGTTCGAATTTGTTCTAATATTCTATCTGTGCTACGTGTATGTTTGATTTGTAAAGTCGTTTTATTTTATGAATTAGTGTATAAAAGCAATCTAAATTATCTTATCTTACAGATATTGCAAATTTTAGTGCTACTGAAGGAAAAAAATAGTGGGGGCAACTTTACACCAAGTAAGGAAAAAGAACATTCTTTGAGTAGTGGGACACTTAGAGGAGCGCCACTTTGGTATGAAGTAATTGTTACCATTGTTGGTGTTAAGATACACGAAAATTTTTTAAAATGTATGTTTGATATACAAACTAGTTTTATTTTAAGAATCAGTATGAGTATGCAGTCAAAACTTATTCTTCTTACATTAAACTCTTTCGTAAAAATAAATAGACTGATATGCATGCGTATTTTATTTCTTTGAGGCTACAAACGTTAGTGTTACTGTATAAAAAAATGAAGACAACTGCTTTCTTTCAAAAGTAGTATCACGAGACATTCCTGGACTCCAAGTGCAGCATCAGGAATTGCCATCGATGTTTCATTACACAAAAAATTATCTTGGTTTTTCCCGACACAGAATTTGATGCAAAATAGCTGCCACCATTTTTGGTGTTGAGATAAACTAAAATTAATTTCAGTGTACTGTGAAATATTAGTTTTACTTTTGGTTTATGTAAACTAAATTACA